AAGAGTGTAGAAAAAAAGAAGATTGTTCCCAGCACGCATCATCTTTTAGGAGGACTTTCTCTGCTAGGTTCACAAAACAGCACCCTGCATTTGCTGGATGAAAGGAAGTGTGCATTTCTGCTTGGGTAATAGTAAAGTATTCTGTCGCAAGCTAAGGATGATACCTGTGCTACAGAACTTTCATGCTTCAGAACTTTAGATACGAATTTCCGCTACTGCACTACTGCTAATAATGCATGCAGTGAAGCATCTTCAAAACAGAACCAGGACCTGAACCCCAGCAATGTGAATGACAGTAGCTACTTTTTGTTTTCCTGTCTTCAGTGGATGATAGCTGCCCAGACAGCACTATAGCAACTAGTGATGTTACAGCAGAGGGCACAATGGGGACCAACAATGTCACCGTGGAAAGTGCAATGGTATCAGCAGACGTGTCAGAAGTGGGTGAGAAAGGAGATTCCCGTGTGGTTCCTGAGGCTGATGCAAAACTCTCTCTGCGAATGAGCCTTGTTACCCCTGTGAATGATGGGAGCGAGGAGTCCCTGCCATTCAGCTTGGAAAGTAAGAGTATGAAACCTCCAAACATACAGGTCCTACTAGATCTCAGCCATAACTCAAAACCTCTTTGTGGCATTCCCCAAGACAGTCTCTTAGTCTCTGTAATTTTTCTCATTTTTCTTTTTGGGCAGTGTCACTTAAATTTTGTGTCTCTGTTTCTGCAATACTCTAAGCAAGGATGGAGTGAGAGGAGAGGCCTCTGTTGTGAGGAAGGGTATTTCCAGCAGACTAAAAGTTGTGATGTATAGTGGCAATGTCACAGGATAGGAACTGGAGTTTGATTATATTGGGAAGGAAAAGATTTTAAAAGTATAATCTGGACAAAAAAGTTTGACAGCATTTTCATCGGAACAGTGACATTCAGTCTAATAGTCTAAAACTTGTAGAAACTCCGGTCTGTGATGAGAAGTTGGGCAGGGAGGCCTGGGCGCCTTTTGTCCAGCATTACTCAACCTCTCTCTTCGCTGAGTGTGGAGGGCTGGGAAGGGGCAGGAAAGTCTGTTCAGGTGACACCGAAATCATCCTTCCCTTCCTTCTTGTTTCAGAGCCTACAGCCAATGACAGGAAAGATGGATCCTCTGCTGCTGCTGGAGCTGCTGCCAGGTAACTGGGCTTGTTGCTGCGCAAAGTTAATACGAAGGTCTGGGTAGATCCTTTTTCCACTCGTTACCAGCAGCAGGGGAAAAAATTGAAAATGAGACACAGAAGCAGGGAACACTTTTAGCAGTAGCCACAATATTAAGCAATGATCTCTCGCAGCAGGTTTTAAGTACATAGGCAAGGGGAGTGCCCCACCTGCTCTTTCACTACAGGCTTTGTGCTTCCTACTAATGTCAGCATTTTGCCTCCTTCTGATTGTAGTCAAAGCAGACATTCATGTCTTGTGCAGTCCGGAATGCAAGTCTGCCCTATCCACCTCTTAAATTTCAAATACATGGTTTTCTGCTTTCTTTCCTTATTGTGCAGTTTTCTGCAAAGAATATCTGAGGAGTTCTGAAAGAGAATTCTGGTTTTGTTATGAAGCTGATAGAAACACAACCAGGTCACCGATATACTGAAATCACAGTTTAACACGTTGACCGTGACTTAACATAAGTTACTCCCTTGGTCTTTTGATTTGTATGTATCTATCTTATCTCACATTTAATGCCTAGCGTTGCTTGATTTTAGCTTTTGGGGAGTATGGTTTGTAAGTACTAACAAGAATCTGAGTCAGAAGATCATGACTTGTAGTCATCTGAATGAAGTATAATGGTTTGAAGCAGTGAGAAAACTTTGAAATAAACTTAGTATCTCTTGTCACAGGATTGCATGCTGGATGGTAATCATGCCTCAGTGCTGAGGATGTGTGGCAGTCATTCCTCACTGGTTGAGGATGGGTTGCCTTTGTAGGTATACGTTGAACTTGATCTCTCAGGGTCTGCTTTATGACTGTCATTCCCAATATTTTTGCGGTGTCAGAAAATCCTGAGAAGTAAGCCATAAATGGTCTAACCGTGTCCCCTGGTGGGTACCAGAGGTAGTAGATGGTGAAACTCCTGGTGGCACTGCAGTTTTCCACACTACGTTTTCTGGAATTCTTACGTTGCTCTTGGCTGTAAGGGTGTCTGCAGAAATGACAGAAATGCTTATGCAATTCCAGCTTGGTCAGTCTCAAAGGTCAAGAAACATCTCACTCATTCTGTGGCTGTATAGGTCAACAAGCTCAATACCGGTTATTGCTTTCCCAAGGGGCTAGAGAACTCTTATTTTGCTGTATAAGGGATTTTCTCACTCCCTGATGCTTTTTTGTTTGTTTGTTTGTTTTAAATCTGCACTGCTAGCTTCCAGAAAGCATCATCTGTGTTTAGTCGTGTCTGTGAAGTTCGTCGAGAGGATGAGGCCAGAGGTCATGGTCTTTCCACTTCTCCATTTAGGTAACTCTTCACAGTCTTTGCCTGCCAGTCCTGGTTGGATTTATATGCACGTGCATTTTCTACATCAAAGAAATTGCACTAAGTCATTGTCTTTGGGTGACTTAGAAGGTTGGGGACAACAGGGTAAGTATAATAAGTACCGTATGTTTGTATCTCACATGGTAATCAGACTTACCTTTTTGACTGAGCAGCGATGTGATTCCAGCTGGCTAATATGCTTCGGTAAAATCTGGGGCTTGAGAGAACTGAGATCATACTTACAGCTGTTTAAATACCTTTTCTTTCTCCTGTTCCAAGATCTTCTGACCTATTGTGTTTGTTATTGTTTCTGCTTTTGTCTCCCTTCCAAGTCCATCAATTGTTGCTGTCTCTGGTTGCTTTGAAAAGGACTGTACTGCTGCATATCTTATGGTGATAAGGGTGCTGGCTGGAGGACCAGGTGTAGAAATCTGCTTCTTCAGTGTTTTCCATTCTATCTTTTGATAGGGCAGTGAGGTCTTGGTCTACGGAGAAAGGGTAACCTGTATTTCAAGAGCATTGAACAGTTACACTAAAGACCATAATAAATAGGGAGTTCCAATGCTGGGCAATATACAGACAGAACGGAAGACAGTCACTCCTCAAGTACACAAGGGAAGCCAAATGTATACTTCTTGTAAGGCTCAGTATACAGTCTAGTACCTGATAACACTTTTGACAGGGCAGACAAATTCTAACGAAAACATTAGACAGCATTTGTGTTTATGCTCCTGCCTCTTCTTGCTAGGTGTGATTACCAGTTTCAAGCCAATGAAGTGCTGAAGCAACCTGTAGCAACTTCAAGATGGCATGACTTCCAGAAGCATGTTGCATAGTTGGTGCCTGACGTGTGGAGTGTAGATTGCTTTATTAGTGTTCGGAAAAGCACCTAGTTCTCTGCAGGTGTCAGCCATTCTTCTTGCTACCATGTGAATCACTTGAGAGATGTTGAAAGATTATTTCATAATTTGAGTCTCGCTGAGTTCTGTGCAATCTTAAGAAGCAATTGAATGACTGCCGGGGGGGGGTGTTTATAGTGCTTTCACTTGAGTGGCAGCATATTGGTTGTCTTGCTTTTTTAATCAGTAATTTTGATCTGTATATAACTGGTTTGCAGGGGGAATCTCTTCAGTTTTCCTGGCACACAAGAAGATGCTGAATTACATAAAAATCCCAGTGGTTGGCAGTACCAGCAACAGAAGGCAGATGACGGCAGTGGACGGGTCCTAGTTCCTCAGAGGATGCAACAGGACTGCCAACCACAACCTTCTAGTGCAGAGGATGGGGAGTCTGTGGAGGCTGGTATTGTAAGCACTCAGACAGAAGAAGGGAGAAGAATGCAGAAGGAACCAAGTAAGGCTGTTAAAATTGATGAAAGCCGAGAGAGGTGGGCAAACACCGAGAATAAAGGGATTCAGACTACAGCAGACTGTCTTTTTAAAACCCCAACAACTGTTACAACAGCAACACAAACGTCAGAAGAAATATGTAGCCAGGTGGAACTGGGAACCAGTATGTCTGGGCAAAGACCTGGGCGACAAGATGCGAATGTCCAAACTGAGGAGAGTGGGGAAAAGCTTGTGAACGCCTCTGGAGAGGACACGGACTCTCTGCACAGTCAGGTGGGATGAAGGCTGCCGGTATTTAATTTTACTGCTTTAGAAGAGTAAAGTATCCCTTCAGCCAGTAAATTCACTAACAGTAGGCTGTTGAAAAAAAAACAACTTTTTTCACTTTAAAATGTTAATGTTTAACATTAAACACTTTAAAATGTTAATGTTGCAAGCTGTCCTGTATCAACTGTACACAACTGCTAAGGTAGCAATACTCAGTGGGCAGCATAAGTTTGGGAAGTAAATGTCTCCATATTTATTTTCTGGAAAAATATGACAAGTTTTGGGTGGGGGGTTTTTTTGGTGTCCAGATGCAGTTAACACTGTAAAAAAATTTTCACTTTTTGTTGGATGGAGATGGGAGTTGCATGAAATTTTGAATGAAGGGTCTGATGCCTTCTCTTTTGCACCAGCCAACTTCTGACAGCTTGTTCTGCCACTCCATCCAATGGCAATGGATAAACACATGAGGGAAAAGCTCCTCCAGAGAAACATTCTAACAAGATGAATAACTTTGAATTAGTATTTCAGAAAGTATTGCAGTGCAATACTGCTTTGCAGTTCCAGCTTGTATATTTTCTTGTGAACACAAAGACTAGAAAAATGATTTTTTCTAGACTTGAGTTAAGAATAGTGTGTCCTCTGGGAAATAGGAGATTAATAGGGTCATAAATATGCAGTGAAACATGATGCGATATGTCTGAGAGTCCACTGAATGAAAGAGTATCAGAAGCAATGCTAAGCAAGTTTGCTGTTTCCTCCCTGGACTGCTATGATTTCCCTTCCTCTACCCGTCAGCAAAATGTGTTCCATTCTCCCTTGTTTAGGGTTTCTTGTGGTGTTGCATCTAATTTGTAACAAGATGCTAAAAGGTTCCCTACCCCAGTACTGGAACATGGTATGAAGAAACTGTACTGCGGAGAGTGCTCTACCCAGAAATTATTTGCTTTTCATTGTGGTCTGTTTTGGTTTTAATTTGTCCTGTTTATTACAGGGAGAGGAGGAGTTCAATCTTCTTCACCCACCTAAAGGCCGAGTTCAGCATCGCCACATGCGAACTATTCGAGAAGTGCGCACTGTTGTTACGCGTGTTATAACAGACGTTTACTACATAAATGGTGCAGAGGTGGAACGAAAGGTAGTTGAGGTAAGTTCCTGTTTTCAGGGCTAAATGTAATGATATGTTGGCTGAAAAACAAAATTAATTAAAATGAGAATGTGTTGTGGCTGCAGAAAACGAATTGAGTGAACAAGTCAGCGTGCTGTGATGACAAACTTTTCTTCATGAGCAAATATGTAAACCATTTAGTGCATGGCGAAAGCTGTGTATTTGTTGCTGGTGTATTTCATGCCCATTACTGTATTCCGAAGACACGCTGACTTTTTTTTCTTCCCAAAGAACTGAACAAAAGACTTTACTATGTGTGTCCAACTGTTTTAAAATTCTTGAGGTTTTGTCAGAATAGAGAGATTTCAGAATGGGCAGAAATTCACTTAAGCACAAGTCACTTCTGCCTGTAAAATTGAACTATGCAAGGTAGTTTAGCCTGTTTTGCAGCTCTGTCATTTTTAACTGCACTCTTTTGAATCCTGTGGACCAGATTCTATAAGAGGTCTACAAAAAGCAACTTAAAAAATAAGCAAGCCTATTCTTAGTACACTTGTGTTGGTGCATGTCCATTCATTAATCGGAAAATCTTTAGGGAATCTCAAAAGATAGCTGACAAATGCTGATTTAATGTGCACAGTAATCATACCAGCCTGCTAGCAATAAAGTGTTACTGCTATTCTGCTGTGAAGGTAAATAACATAAGAGTCTTGTGCTGTGTTGTTACAATGAGTAATGACACAAAAGGATAAATTAGTTCAGTGCAAAGCTTATACTTTCACACCTGATACTACACATGAAATTACTTACTGTAACATTAAAATAGAGAATTAGGTTTCCTGAAATGTGCTTACATAGGTTGTGTAATCACAATCGTATAACCATTTCGAATTTATCTACCACCATTTGATATCGCTATTTTGTAGATACATATTTTTATATCCATAAAACTTTAATGGCTCCAAATGACCAGCTGCCTGAAATTGATCTTGGATTATTAGTAACCAAAGGCTGTTAGTGTCTCATGTATTTGTTGCACTCACACTCTCGAAGGGTGGGAATTACTCAAAGCCAGACTAATTTGATACCAACCAAGCTCTGTCCTGTTCACTGATTTCTTAATGTGACTTCTTTATATAGAGCAGCTACAGGCCTATAGTGAGAGACACACTGTCTACCATTGATCAGTCCGGACTCAAATCTGCATGGCTATCTTCAGTTTCATGAATGTGGTGTCAACTTGTCTGCGCTTTTGCCTGGTGATTGTAGAGCTTCCATCTAGCAAGTGTGTCACCTTTGACGA